AAGAGTGAAGAAGGACAGGTAGGCTGTGCACGTTAGGGGTTTGCAACCGATGATCCGGTGATCGGCCACTCGCTAGACGCCATTTTTGGGCTGAAGGTCTACTTTAAAACGTCCCTTTCCCCCTATTCGTAGAATAATATAAAAATGAAAGCGTCTTTTGTGCATGCCGGCATGGTGACATAACATAAAAGCCCCACAAAGAGTGGTCACATAAGTCCCTAATAGACGGTCCAAGTAGATATTCTCCCTCAAGTTAGAATAAGAGCTTAAAGGCTGCATGGCTCTGTTGGACATCGGAGCGTCGATTGCAAAGATGCCTCATCGCTTATAAAAATATTTCTTAATTCATGCATTTTTTGCTGGTGTTTGAAGTCTTACGTCTTTTCTTTCGCCCTGTTATTACCATCTTTGTTTTCATCTGCTCCAAATGACCATCATTTAGTTTTTTCGATGTTTTTCTCTTTATTCAAATACGACTGTAGTGCTTTAATTTAGGAAGATGGTCTCTCCGTGTAGCCCAGTTTGCAACATGCTCACATGTTGGCGGCCCTGTTTCGAATCCTCAACGCAGCTCATGACTCCCCTCCCACTTAACTGTGTCGAATATCGGGAACGAATGGTGAATCGAATGTCCGGTCTCGTACCTCATCATATTTCAATGAAAGGGATGCAAGATCTATTCACGTGCTTTCGTATACTTAGAGAAGGTGGGCACTTAAACGATTTTATACCCAATTACTGTTCGACTGGGAACTGTGTCAAGTTGTCGGGTGGTTGGAGGACGCTATGTGATATGTCCTGTCCTTGCTGTTTTTGTTTGTTTAACCCACTTTTCCAGCATTAGATGTAAGCGTTATTGCATCAATGCACCTCTTTTCATTCAAGCAAAATGTGTCAAGCTGGGATGCCCCGGTGCACGTTGAACTTTAAGAGAACATTTTTTTGGGTTTTTTTTTAGGGGGGGGGTTGTTTTTTTTTCCTTCTCACCTTGCATGTCTTTACGCGTCACTGCTCGCGTATCCCATTCACCGTGCGTGTCATCTCCGCGACACTGAGATGTAAACAATTGATGCTCGAGTCCACGTAGATCTCGTAACACACGCGCCTGATGTAACCTTTCACGCAATAGGGTAACGCTCTCCGCGGGCGCTATCTTTTTTTCTTCTTCTCCTACTTGTTTCTTCTTCTGTGTTTTTGGTTTGTCCTATCTTCTTCTGGAACGACGCAGGCAGCAGTGGTATAATTTTGTGGAGGTTGCCATTCCCAACGGCCTTAACTATGACTTTGTTACCACCCACCCCCCTCCCATCACCATGGCACCATCACTTTGCAGTAACAGTTACCGCAACAAAACGGATAACTACGACACCAAAGTCAATAACCACGACAGTAATATGCACGTTGTTCTCTCTTTCTCTCTCT